TAACATTTTCGTGCTGAATGAGGATCGCCTCTCAAGACGCCCACACCCTCGGTGGTCTGGAATTTCAGGTAGAGGTGCAACATGGAGATGACCGCTCCAATCTGCGTCATTCCCGGTCGTCCCATTATCGCGTTGTGGATGCACATGAAGTCAACCACCACGAATTCCATGTTCACCCGGAGGGTTTTAGGGCGCGTTCCCACTTCGACCGGTAGCATGATCATTCCTTCCGGTTGAATGGTAGCTCCTGTGAAACCAGACAATGGGGTACGGACGGGGGTGAGTGTGTATTTCTCCAATTTCAGCCTCTGGAAAGCATCCATGTACAACACATTAACGCTGTTACCCGTGTCGACCATTACTCGACGAACGTCGAAACCGTTGATGTCTATGGTTACAATTAGGGCTTCGGCGTTAAGACCGGGTTCTGCTGACAGGTCTTCGTCTGAGAAGGTAATCGGTTCAGACTTGGGCCTCTTATTCTGCCTTACTGGCTCAATGGATGCAACATCAAGTGATCAGGCCCATTGGCGCCTTTCATCCGGGGTATCGCCACCCTCCGGTCCTCCGAAAATAACATGTATGATCTGTTTAGAGGAGGTTGTCAGGGCCTGTGAGTCCGGCTGATGATCCTTGTCCCCTTTGTTTTTGTCGGACTTCTTGAAGAATTTCTTCCAACCCCTATTTCCTTTCTTCTTTCTTTCCTTGGCAAACTGCGCCAGCTCTCTAGTCTTTAACAGATCCTTAATCAGGCCTTTGAGGACATGACATTCTTCTGTATCGTGTCCCCTGTTCCTGTGGTAAGCACAATATTTTTCTTTGTCCGGCCGATCCGGGGAAGGTGCCGGGAGCTGAATCATGTTACAAGATTGTGCGTAATTGAGGACGTCGACGACCGGTCTATTGAGGGGGGTGTATACAGGGTTTCCATCCTTGTTTCGTTGTCCACGATCCGACTATTTCTGGCCCCGTTGCTGAGGCCTAGCTGGTCCTATCTCTTGTCTTCGTTTAGCCGAGTTTGCCTCACTAGCGTTGGCATAATCCGTAACTCGCCGAATGGCCTCTTCATACGTTCGGGGGGATGTAAAATGAAATCTTGATACGCGGCCCCCGCCCGGAGCGACGAGTGTAAAAGGTTTATAGCCGTTCGGTCGTCTAGTTGCTCTACTTTTGCCATTAGAGCTTTCCATCGATCCAGGAACGCCGACAAGGATTCACCATCTCATTGACCCTTTCCCTCAAGGTAGGTAAAGTGCTTCTTAACGGCTTTCGAAGTGGTGAAGCGTCGTACAAACCCTCGGGCAAGGTCAGAGAAGCTAGTTATTGATCCTGGGTCTAACGAGTTGAACCATTCTGCAGCTTTTCCTGACAAGGTGGAGTAAAAAGCTCGGCACATTATAGCGTCAGATACTCACATCATAAGCATGTTACTGTAGTATGTGTTGATGTGCTCGTCGGGATCGGTCTTACCGCTATAGTCTTTGTTGCCAGGGACACTCAAATCAATTGGGTATTGTTCAGCCATTATCTGCGCGGTGAACGAGGTTTGTAATAAAGGCATATCGACCTCGCTAGTTCGGGTTCCCCCTTGTTCCCTTTTCCACCGGTTGAACTCTTCTCGGAACTGCTCCATTAGTGCTGGAGTCATGGTCGCTTGGCGGTCCAGCTGAGCTCCTCTCTTTCGTTGTGATCGGGAGGAGCTGACCTCACTGGAGTCCCCATGACCGCTAGCTTCCGGTTCATCGAGCGAGATGCGACCATGACTGAGTCAAAATGATAACGTAAAATGCTGAGTCAAATACGTATCATTGAATCAAATGGGAATTACTGTTACATAGACCGGATACGCCTTAGACAGTGGGTCGTAGGGTTCCGGGCTCTTCAGACTGTCGTTTTCCCATCAGCCAAAAGTCCCTCTGCCATGCATTTAATGCCGTATTTATAGGGGGCCGCAGGGGACAGCAGCCAACAATTCAGCATGTTCGCCGCGTGGCACACATGCATAGGGCACAGGTTCGGCCGGGTCACAGGGAGCCACGCGACAAGATCATGTCATAACTTGTCTCATAGACACCCTCTATAGGAACAACCGGTACCGGTCATTCTGGGTCGGTAGGTCGCCCAAAGCGATACAGGGGGTATTCCCGTGGCCGGTTACGCTACCAGTGACCGGTCGGTCCATATAATGGTCGGTAAGGTCAAGTCCATGGTCAAGGGTTGACCAATGACCCAGGGGTTATTCCATATCAATTATTATTATTATTATTATTATTATTATTATTATTATTTGGGCTTGCTTTTGATTTTTCAAAGAATTGAAAGATTATATTGTTATTCAAATTATTATTTGAATTTTATTATTGTATTATTGTATATGCCCATATGTTAAATTGTTATTTTGTGCAATTTATTTTGATGATATGACTTTATGAGTTCATATATATACATATTTTGTCATATTTGCATAATATATAGTTTTTTATTATGCGGATTATAAGTTAGGCTTAAGGAGTGGATCCTGAGTTTAGCAAATTTGTGTGTGTGTGTGTGTGTGTGTGTGTGTGTGTGTGTGTGTATATATATATATATATATATATATATATATATATATATATATATATATATATATATATATATATATATATATATATATATATAACATGGCTGCTATCAACAAACATAAATTTACTAAGTTTGCCCTGGATCGGAGAAATTATTTAACATGGGCTATTGATGTTGAGTTTTATCTCACATCTACGCAACTTGAAGACATGATCATTTAAGAAGTCTACAACAATGCAACGCAAAAAGCCAAAAGCCCTAATTTTTTTTACGTCATTTAAACCATGGCCTGAAATGAACCCTATGTCTTATCGAAATCCCTCAAGAACCGTTTTGACCAGCAAAAATCAACAGTCCTTTCTCAGGTACAATTGACTGACTTAACTTGAGATTTTGCTTCACAACTAGCAAAAATCACTTTCTATTGGTATAAAACCATTTGCACGCCCAGCTGAATTTGCACCAGTGCCTGAAGCACAAAAATGTTGCCTAGTCGACCAAGAGGGGCCTAGGAATAAGTTAGGGAAGAGGTCACGATAGGGGTCAAGGCTGAGGTAGCGACAACAACTCGCGAAACCAGAATAAGCAGCCAAATGATCAAGCTCGAACTCTTGCCCAGCAACAAGTATGCTTCAAGTGCGGGTGTAAAAGGCACTGGTCACGTACATGCCACATCCTAAAGCATTTTGTTAAAACCTACCAACGATTGTAAAAACACAATAATCTTGCATTGCCTGAAGAAAATGCTCTTGTTGGTAATGATGATTACATACTGAACCAAATGCTCTTGTAGACGACGTTTTCACTATTTTTCGGGATTGATATATATTTTCATTTAACATCTTTTTTGTGATGTTTTCTCAAATCTCTAAATTCTCCCTGCCATTATTGCAGACAATAATGTTTCCTTTGTGGGCTCCGGTAGAGCTTCACTTTTACTCCCTCAATTTAAAGATATTAGGTCAATTGGTTTTCATGACAAAAATTGTTCATAACACGGAATACATTATCATAATCTAATTTGTTAGCAAGAGAAAACCGGAAGTCAAAGAATTTGCTTCTTTTTCCCCATGATTCTTACTATATTCGACCTGAAGTTCCGTGCGCTGCTTACTATGATATTGAGCTCAACTGGATATAACCTACTTTGATCAAATATCCTTCGCTAAATGAGTATACATTTGTTACTCGTCTTTACGATCTAAAAAGTTGAATATGATTCGCCTGTTTATATGTGAGCATGGATGGATAATACTGAAAAACCCCAATTTTTCGATTATCCTATTAACTTCGTCAGTTTTGACGATTATTATATGACATTGAGGATTAACCTTATGTCCACACCCAACATGGCTTAGCTGAATCTTGATTAAGACCATGATTTTAAAAGTCTAGTTTGCTGGTTACTTATTGGGGAAATGCAAAATTGCATGCTGACGATATAGTATAACTCCGGCCAACTGCGTATCATTATCCCCCCATATACCTAAAATGTGGTTTCAAATCAAACATTTCTCAATCCGCGTTTCTATTTTAAGTGTGCAGTCTATTTTATTATATCACCACCATGGCGTATCTCTAAGGGCTATAAAATAAATGTTGATTATAAACATCGTTTATTGTCTAAAAATCTAGAACACATGAGACTACATAATTTATGAAGATCGGTTCACGGCATTAGGGGGAGATATGATCAAATTTAAATGGAATGCCGAGAAATTTCAAGAAATCAAATGATCTTCAAAATTTAAATCCACGTACCAATTAGACTGAACTGGAAATTCAGAAGGAAATCATAACATCTCTATCAAACATATCTATTTTATAAAAAGTGACTAGGTCTCATAAACATTCTCTAAAATTGGACCTTGTATATCTACTGATGCTCTTTGGTGCCAGAAGTGCGGGAAAACCATCGGTGTAGAAAAATAAGAATCCACAATAACTTGATCTAGTAAAGGATTTTTGTCACTATTGAAAAATCTTAAAGAGTTATGTGTTTAAGACAATCGTCCAGAAGACAAGAAAACCCAGTAAATTTATAGGTTTACCAAATAATCATAATATAGAGATGCAGAACAACCGGATAAAAATATCTTTATGAAATGGCTAGAATATGGTTGACTTAAAAATTATCATGAACTTTTATGTGGGAGAAAATTTATGAAAGAGTAAAGACATTTTTGGTCCTTGACTTATAGTGGCACGGAGAATTTTAGTCTTCCTTAAAAAAATCAGACAATATGTGGACACTCTTATTGTGACGAGGAAAATTTTGGTCCTCCGTCAATATTCCAGTTAGCTGTCCCATTTGGGAGGGGGTAATTGCGTCTTTTCAACCTACATCCTCCACTTTAATACGTCAGTGTGCTTGTGTTCTTCATTGTGTTCTTCATTGCAGATTAACGAGGAAGATTGACGAGAAACAACACTCTCTCCCAGTAAGAAATTGAAGCAAATTTGCTCGAAGGAAAATGCAAGAGGAAGCTGTAACTCTTCCCGTTCGTCGACTAAAAGGAGAAAGGTATATGGTTAATGGATTTCGATTAAAGTTTGTGAATGTGGTCAAGAAATGGTTTTGAGAACATCTTGGACAAATGAGACCCCGGGAAGGAGGTACTTGGGATGTTCAGGATGCAATGTTAGATGCAAATTTTTAAATTTTTTTGCAATGAGAATTAATTTTTTTTATTTTTTATTTTTTGTGATGAATCAGAACTGTGGCTTAAATTTTTCTAATTTTTTGAATTTGTGCAAATTTTACAGGATGGGTTCATGGCTTGGTTCGATCCCCCAATGTGCCCTAGGTCATAGAAAATTATACCGGGCTTATTGAAGAAAATTAACAAAAAAGAAGAAGAAATAGAGGTATGATTTTGAGGAGATTTTGCAAGTGTGATTAGGAAAGAGAAATGGCTGAAAAGGAAAAATAAAACAAAAAACAAAATAAAAAACTGAAAAAACCCTCCAAAATACCCTAAAATCCCCAAAATTATGACAAAATCTCTTAAATAACCTAACAATCCCAAACCTCTCTCTCATCTCTCCTCTCTCCTCTCTCCTCCAACACATCAACTTTTTCTTAAAATATGTGTAAAATCTCCCTAATTGGGATGCCCTAATAGTTGTTAGTTTTACGGCTCTAGGATGCCGCTCGGCGGGCCAACACTAGGGGTGTGCGTTCGGTTAACCAAACCATTTTAACCGAAATTTTAAAATCTTTAACCGTTAACCGAATCAAAGTTTGTGTTACTGAATTAATCGAACTGAAATTTTTTCGGTTAACCGAATTTTTTTAAACTAAAATAAAAAATCCTAAAAATAACATCTATAATAATAAATCTAATTAAAATAATACATATAATAATAAATTCATTATGGAGTTGATAATTTTGATTTCTAATTTAAGTGGGAGACAAGAACAGTAGGGTTATATACTTACATTTAACATTATATATTTATTATATATATACATATATTTAAAACTTTGATTAACCGTTCGGTTAATTCGGTTAACCGACACTTTCAAACTGAATTAACCGTTAACCGAAGTTTTAAAAATCGTTTAACCATTAATCGAACCGAAAAAGTTTGGTTAAAAAACGGTTAACCTAACTTTGTCGGTTCAGTCGGTTAACCGAAAATTATCCGAAGTTTGCACACCCCTAGCCAACACTACCATAAAATACTAGAACGAAGGTTAATGTGAATGAAGATTGAAGGAATGGAGAGAATAATGTGGTATTATTTATGTGACACCCCGAAAATCCGTCCTTAATTGGGATTAATTGAGGAATTACTTCTAATTTCCTTTGGTAATTATCCTCCTAAAATCCTGAAATTTCATAGTCGAGGGACTAGTTTTGGCCTACCTTCCTTGGTGCACCTTATGTTTTGTATGTTGTACCTCAAACCCTTATTCATCCTAACTCTTAGTAAGGGTAATGTGGACTTTTCACTTGTGTGTGGGCATCCTTGTTTCCCTAGCAAGACATCCCACCTTCATTTCTTACTAGCCAAGTTCACAAACTCTCCCACCTTTCTCTAGAAAAAAAAGTTTGCTTATTCCTCAAGCTAGAAAGTGGTCTTCCAAGCTTTGTCAAAATACCAAGATTCCTACTTTCTTCTTCCCAAGCATAGGAAAGGGTAAGATCCAAAGCTATTTAGTGTTTTTAGCTATCTTTTAGGAGTCTTTATCTAAGTTATTGCTTTTTCTTGGTGGTTTGGGTTTGTATAAGAAGGTGTTGAAGAAGAGGGAGCTCTCTTGAAAGGTTTGAGTTTGAAAGAAGAAGATTAGGCTTCAAAGTTAACCCATGCTCTACAAAACCTATTTTATGCTTGATATTGCTATTTCTTGGATTCTATTTGATGATTCTTGATGTTGTGAGTCTTTTGATGCATGATCTTGTGAAAATGCATGTTTAGAGCTTGTGTTTAGGTTTCTTGAATGCTATTGCTTGGCTTAATCTTTGGTTTAAGTCATATTCTTGTTGTGTGCGAGGTTTTGGGTGTTTTAGACTTGAACTTGACCTTGAGGATGAAAATCCCTGAAGCGATTTATTTCTAGGCATCGTGTTCCCCGCGGGTAAGGACACGGGTACCCGGTACCCGTGAGGAACATGGCTTGCAGGGCATGCACCCCGCAGGCAGGAGAACGGGTACCCGGTACCCGTGGTCCCACCAGCAGGGAACGTTATATGTTGACGTCGGGGATTTTTTCCCCGTGGTTCTTTCTTCTTGGTATTTGATGTTTTGGCCTTCCTTTGTTGTATGGTTGAGCCTTTGAGTGTCTTCTTGATGTTTCGTATGTCTAGAACGATGAGTTAGGAATCCGTGATAGGATTTGGTGTCTTTAATCGTGCTAACGGTCCAACTTTTTGATTCGTTGGATTGATGATTGAGTCCTTGTGATTCGTTGGAATTGTCTTGGTTTGCCTGTTTGATAAGCATGCTAGCTTTGATGTCGTTATGCTAGTATGTGCGGTTTGTTCCTTCTTGTTGAGGATGGCAACTTGTGTTGTCCATCGTGTTGGTCGTGGATTGGAGTCCATCGTGATTGTTGAGTATTGTCTCTTTCTATTTGTTGAATTCTCTTGATTGACTCTTGTGATTGGATCCTGTGTGATCATTGAATTCTGTTGATACTTGATTGGGTTATTGGTGTGCCTCAATCCTCTTGATGATGACTGTGTGTGACTATGATGAATTGGTGGTTGTTACTTGAGCTTTGCTCACGAGTTTGGCGGTATGTGACTATGAAATTAATGGTACCCTCGAGTACTGAGAGTCCGGCGGTATTGTTTGGCGGCAGTTTGGCGATGGACGACGGTCCTAGGAGGTAAAAGGTTGGACTCAGAAGTACAGGGTGGCACTCGGAGGTACAGGTTGGAACTGTGATAAGGCCGGGGGTAGCCATAAGGGTGGTACTAAGGTAAAAGGTTGGAACATGATTCTTGTTATGTGAAATGTGTTGGTCATTGATGTTGTTGTTGTTGTATTCCTTGCTTTGAGCATGTCTATGGTGAAGGCTACCTCGTGAAGGGTAGTTTCCACCTAGAGTTGTGTTGTCGTTGTTGTTATGGTTTCTCTTACCTTGATGTTGTCGGTTGGTCTTTGTTGAGAGTGTTGTGATGAGTCCTTTGATGTTCCACTCTTGGTTTTCAAATGATATACGTATGATATTCCTCGTTTCAAACGCTTTTGATTATACTTATCTATATTATGATACTTAACGTGTATTAGTGGGTTACCAGCATCTCTCGCTGACCGGGTGTTATCCCCTTATCTATATGTTGTTTACAGGTTTTGCCTAGATGAAGAGTGCGCTAGTTGAATCGGTAGCTAGTGGAATCGGTAGCTAGTGTAGCCTTCCTTTTGTTTAGACTTATGCTTGGCCTATGAGCCCTTAGCTTTATGTTTGGCCTGTGTGCCTTAGACGTTTTTTGGCCTGTGAACCTTGGACAGATGTTGATGTGTTTGGTTTTGTTTAGACTTAGCCTGTGCACCTATGTTGAGTTAGGTGTGACATAATATCCCCGTTTAGACTTGCTTCCGCTTTACCTTTAATAGATGTTTAGCTTGTTTATCTTGTCTTTTAAGCTTTAAAATTGTTGGTAAAATTGGGGGGTGTTACAGTTGGTATCAGAGCCTAGGTTTGAGCCTAGGAAGTTAAAAGTTGACCTTTGAGAAGTTAGGTGTGGATTAAGACTCTAAGTTGACCTCTAAGTGTTAGGACTCAAGACTCTTAGGACGCGCGGTGAGATGTTTGTTTCTCTTGTTGCTTGTGTGCTTGTTTAGTTTGTTCTAGCTTTGCCGAGCGCCGGGTAAGGGTGCTTAGTTCTTCGTTCTTTGCCGTTATCGTGCTGTTTCTGTAGAAGTCAAGGATGGCACTGCCTTGCCATCGTGCCCGGATTCCCGAGACGCCTACGAATGAGCAGTTTGCGCAGAATCTTCAGCATCTGACTCAAACGATGCAGACGTTGAGCAACGCCCTTCTACACAACAACAACAACCCACCGCCACCGCTTGTTGGGAACAAAGATGAAGTTCGCTTGGTTTCGAGTTATCGGCTGCCTGTCTTCGCCGGTGAGGAAGATTCCGCTCTTCTGGAAGAATGGATACGATATTTGGATTAGATTTTCGCCGTAGTGGGATGCCCGGAGGACCGACGAGTGGAGCTAGCAACATTCTACTTCAGCCACGAAGCAAACCTTTGGTGGGTGCACGAGGGTCCGTTGTGTCTCGAGGATCCCGAGTTTGGTTGGGCAGCTTTGAAGGACAGGCTACGAGAGACGTTCTATCCGTCGCACGTGAGAGCCGTGATGTACGAGGAGTTCTTGCACCTCAAGCAAGGGACTTCATCGGTGGTTCAATACCACAAGCGCTTCCTTGAGTTGGCCCGCTTTGCACGGATGTTGGTCCCCACAGAAGAGACGAAGGTGGAAAAGTTTGTTGCCGGGTTCAACTACGAGGCAAGGAAGGCCTTGATTGTGAGTAGTGTGACACCCCGAGATCCAAATTCGGTTAAGGGATTAATTAAGTAATTAATCCTATTTCAATTTGTAATTTAATTCCTTAAATTCCTTAAATTTAATAGTCGGGGACTAGTAATTGACTAGTCAACCCCATAGTCAAAGTTGTACCTTGAGCTTTGTAAGGAGTTCCCTTGTTCCTTACACCTTTCCATGTTAGTAAGGGTATTCTTGACCTTTCACCTTGTGTTAGTATTATAACCTAACCTAGTAAGAACATCCTCATTTCTATCCATACACTTTCCAAAATCTTAGCTCCACCTTCTCTCTAAAAAGGTGGGTAGCTTTTCTTCCAAGCCAAGTTGAAGCTTTGTCAAGACTTCAAGAGTTGTCTCCAAGATTCTACCTTTCATACATTTGGGCATATAGGAGGGTAAGATCCATGTTCATCTTGTGTTTTTAGTATTTTCTAAGGTGTCTTT